ATTTGAAAAATGCTTCTGACTTTTCTATAATTTTTAAATTTTAAAAATGAATCTGTAAACCAAAACAAGATACTACTTCACACCAACTAGAATGGCTATAATAAAAAAAGATGGATAATAACAAGTATTGAAGAGGATGTGGAACAACTGGATCCCTCATATACTGTTGATGGAAATGTAAGTTGGTGCAGTTACCTTAGAAGATAGTCTGATAGTTCCTCAAAAGGTTAAACAGAGTTATCAAAGGATTCAGCAAGTCTACTCCTAGGTATGGAACAAGGAGAATTGAAAACCCATGTCTACAAAAAACTTGTACACAATGCTCACAGCAGCATTACCGATCATAGCCGAAAAGCGTAAACAACCTAAATGTACCTCAACTGATGAATGGATCAACAAAATGTGGTAGATCCACACAGCAGAATATTATTCAGCAATAAAAAGGAATGAAGCACTGATGCATGACATACCCGGTGGGATCAATGGCAGAAATAAACCTTGAAAACATTACGCTCATGAAAGAAGCCAGACACAAAAAGTCTCAAAAAGTGTAAGATTTCATTCATATGAAATGTTCAGAATAGGCAAATCTATAGGGACAGAAAGTACATTAGTGGTTTCCTGGAGTTGAGCGGAGGGCAGTGAGGAGTCACTGCTAAAGGGTATGGTGTTTCTTTCAGGAGTGATGAAAATGTCTTGGAATTAGAGAGTGGTGATGGTCACACAACTTTGTAAAAAACGCTGACTTGTTCATTTTAACAGAGTGAATTTTATGGTATGTGAATTTGATCTCAATTAAAAAATGAACCTTTGTGATCTACATGTATATAATTCAAACATTACAGAAATACACAAAAGTGAAACTTTCCCTATACTCCTTCTCTTCAACTTTACCTCCCATTTTGAAGCAGACTAGGACTTTATTATGCACCCTGTTTTGTTACTTTTTTCACTTCGTGTGGCCTGTTCATTTTTTCATCATTGGAAGTAAGAAAAAAAATTCCAAACTGATTTTTCGAGTAATATAGCAAACCCAGAAGTCATAAAGAAAGATCGATAACTTGATTAAATAAAAATTAAAAATTTCTATACTGAAAAAGATACCATAAATAAAAATGCAGACCAGGAGAACATACAAAAAACATTTATCAGAAAGGGTTAATATTACTGTATTAAGGATTAAGAATCCTGTAAGTTGATTTAAAGACAAACAACACAAAGGAAAAATGGGCAAAGAAGTCAACCTCATTAGTAGTCATCATTTTTTGCCCATCAGATTGGCAAAAATTAAAAGAACTGGTAACAATTAATACTGGCAAGAGCAGGGGAAAATGGACACTCATCAGTTGCCGAAGGGTATGTGAATTGCTACAGCCTTTTGGGAAAGTAAGTAGGTAGTATTTAAAACATGAGCATAACCTTTAACCCACTTACAGAACTCTAACCTACAAAAATAAAAGCGCCACTACTAAATATGTTCACAAAACTGTTTATTGTAGCAATGTTTATAAGAGGAAAAAGTCGGAAAAAATTAGAATGGCTGTCGATAGATGATAGCTGAAAAAATTGTGATTTTTTTTTGGCTCCATGGATATTAAAGAAGCATGCATTAGCTATATGTGAGAATTCTACCACTGAACCACCAATGCGAACGCATTAGCTGGATATGACTAACCTAGAGGCATGTCCACAGTAGACAGCTGTGTGAAAAAAGCAAGTTGCTGCATAATTACATAGAAAATACCATTAAAATACACCCGACCCCCTAGAAATGTGAACATGTGTTTGTATATTGTTGTATATTTAACAGGCAGAGAAAGCCTGTTAAATTTGGCATGTTAGGGGCTGAGTATGCTGTTTGATTATTTAAAAAAAGAAAGTAATTTTAAAAAGCTGATTGTTGATAAAGGACAATGTTGTGCTAATTTAAGCTTTCCTGAAGGCTAGGGAATAGTTAAAAGAGGATGAAAGAGGTCAATGTTGATGAGATAGGAGAGTTAACAGAGTAGAACAAGAATATCTACAGAATATAAGATATGCTAACATTTCTTTTGATCTAATATTTTGGCTTCTTACAGAGGTGGAAGAAGAGAGATTGGGCCGGAGCCTGGGGACCTGTTGGTCTGAAGTATTGGACAGATGGCTGGCTGGAGGTAAGAACTCCTTTTTTGGTTTCTGACTCTGGTGTCTCCTTGGAGTTCACTTGGAAGAGAAGTCACCTGGACCTTATACAAGAGCAGACTGAAGCAGAATCAGCCCAGTGGAAGTTGGTTTATTCGGCATCAAGAAAACGAGTTAGTAGTCACATTGTGAAGAATGTGCCATCAACATTATTCCCGGGGACCATGCTTCTACCAGGGTCAAAGTAACACTTGAAAGCAAGTTATTAACTCAAAGAGGAGAAGCCATGCTGAGTCCCTGAGACAGTTTTTGGAAAACCTAATCACATCTACTCTAGGAAAACTAAAATGTCAAACTGGGAAAAACCTTAGCTTTAACAATCCTGTCCAAAATATACGACTGAGGGGGGCTAAAGTGTGATTTCTGAAATGGTGTAGAGCTTGGTAAATGTCACTTCTTTCACTGTTTAGAAACGTTAAAAAAAAAAAAAAGATATTTTTAAAAAGTAAAAATATGTTTTTTTTTTAAGCAGTGGTATTTTCAGTGGGAGACTAGTCCTGTTCACAACTATTTTATAGGTTGAATGAGTCCTCTCTTTTAATTGATTCATGTAGAACTGAAAAGTTCTGAGGCAGACGAATGATATGGCCCAAATGCAGAAAAAATTGTGTGCTCTCGTTGGTGGCATTTAGTTCCAAGAAGTGACTTTAACTCTCTTTTGGGATATTAGAGGGACAAAAGGAGATTTATCTGAAATGGACAGTTCCTTGAACATGTGTGAATGTCATCAAAATACAACCCCTTTAGTTTAATGGTGGGGCATTTCTTAAGGGAGAGACAAACACCCCCACAAATTTGGAGGCATTTGTCCATTTTTCATGACACCAATCCTTGGCAAGATAAATCGTTATGGGCTTTTGCATCAGAGACACTTATGAACAGTTTCAGGGGAAAAAAAGAAAACCTCAAAAAAGTTGTGCCTGGAGGAAAAGAAATGAGTAAAGAAAGAGAGAACACATCACAAAACCTCAAGCTTTTCCGGTTAGAGACACAGATGTGCCTCTGCCTTGGGGCACTGGGCATAAGCCTTCATCCCAAACCTGAGGGGCTTTGGCGTATGAGTAGGATTAGCTCCCATTCAAATTTCCTTTATAATTTCTTTCAACTAAATTAAATCCTGTCTTTCTACCGTTTTTGCCAGGCAGTAATAGAAAAGGAGGCTAGCTGGCAGAACAAGGAAGTGACACAGTGCATTTCTGCAGTTGGCACAGAGAGCTTTGGAATCTACTTTCAAAACACGCCTGAACTAAACCTCATGTGCTTCTCGCCAATCTTGCAGGGGCTAATAAACTGCACGTGGCTCTGTGAAAAGCCACCTCACCCCGTGTGGCATTTCTGCTGTCTGGTTGGGTTAACATCCCTGCTTTATTAGAGGATGTATCCAGGGAGTGCAGATGGGTGCTGAGGGCACCGGCCTAATGAGGACTATGCTTGGTTTGTTTCCTCTTGTGTTTTTCAGATAAGCAGCTCTGAGGAGGGATTTCTCACTGGGTTCGCTCGCTCCAGCTCCTGAAGCAGGTCTGAGACACAGGTGGCAGTCTCAGGTTAGTTCCTTGTCAATCAGTGAGACAATGCCAGATTGTGACAGAGACTCCCTCGTATTTTTCCAGGGGCTGCTCAGGTTATGAGGGGAAGGGGAACATACGGGAGTCTATTCTTGTCTCTCCTTAGGCACATGAATCTTGCTGATGATGTGGCTGGTGTAGCACCTGTTCCCTCTCCCAGAATTGGTCAGACATGGATGGAACCTTTGGGAATTTTTATCTATAAAGCGTTTTGCCTACAGGTAGACAGAAACTGCAACTCAACCCCACTATTCCCCAAAATAACTTCTCACAATTTGTGGGGAACTCAGGAAATGACATATTACGCAGTTACGTGTGACTGACTGGGGGGCTTCTGCAGTGACCCTGGGACCAGGACGAATGGTGAGTTGTCCATCACCTGTATCGTAACCCCAGGGTCTTCTGTTGACAAGGAAAACTTAAAGGGTGCTGGGAAAGCACCTGTCTATCTAGTTCCAATCAATTTGGAAAGCGATTCCATAGTTCCCCTCATACTGAAGGGGTGAGGAGCAAGGATGAAGGTGATGAGTACAGCATCGTTTCAAAGCAGATGGACTAGGAGAAATGGAGGAGCGGAGGAGGTTTGAAGTACCTGAGCATGCTTCCATGCATTAGACTTACTTTTTTTCACTAAGCAGTTGCCTCTGCTTGTTGAGTATTGAAATCTAGATCATATTTCAAGTGCCTTCTAGGACGAAAGTGGTTAATTTGGAATCACTATGAAACATCCTGCCTCCATGGATGGGGATGCAGTCCCTTTACTGTAACCTTTAATGTTGGCACTTAAGAACAATTTGGGAGTGGTGCGGGGCGGGGGGGGGGGCAGGGAGAGGCCAGATAAAGGCCTGAGAGAGTAGATCACATGTGAATTTTTG